TGTGTGTGTATATATATCCCACGTTCAAAGGCTGTTAAATAGCGTTGTTTACCCATATCTTCAGAAAAAAATCACTTCTGTGGTGGTAAACAACCTGCTTCCCTATTTATAATGGTCTGGCCCTCTAGCAACTTCAGCGTGAAATTATAGCTAATTTGCCTACAAACGTCAGGTGGTCATAATAATCTGGCCACTCAGTGTATATGGAAAAGGATTTTCAGAGATCTTTATTACTAGATGCCCGGTGCATGAAAATTCATGCACTGGAGGGGTGTCCTTCAGCCCGACCTGCCTCCTCTCACAGTCTGGGAGTCCTCAGGGGCGGGAGATGACCTGGCGATCAGGGAAAGGCGATGCCCCCATCACACCTCTGTTGCTGCCACTGCCGGCAGCGCAAGCCTCGGGCGGCCCTGGGTGGCTGGGAAGCCACCATCTGAGGCTTGCCTGTGCCTCGGGCCTGGCCTGTTTGGCTGGGCAGCCGACATCCAATTTTTGCCTGTGCCTCGGGTCGGCCCTGGGCAGCTAGCGGGCTGAGGGCGGGTCCGGCCACACCGTGTGCCTGCTACCCTCTCGGTGGGGCTGAAAGGACTGGGGGACTCCTGTGGGGCTACGGGACTGGGCGCTGCCATTTTGTGGCTATGGGTGCCGCCATCGTTGTGACGGTGTGACAGTCAATTTGCATAGTTCCTCTTTATTAGATAGGATTTTCTCTGAACCCATTCTTGTGGTCTTTTTAAAAGATTTAACTAATAAAATATATTTTGTATACTTACTCATGTGACTACCATTTCTGCTGTTCTCTATTCCTTACATTGATTTATATTTGAAAATATACTTTTCCTTCTGCATGAAGGACTTCATTTAATGTTTCCTTTAGTGTGATTTGGCTTATGATGAATATTTTCAGATTTGTGTATTTAAAACTTTCTTCTTTTGGCATTCATTTGCTAATGATTTAGGATTTCAAATAGATATTATTATGTGAAGAAATAACGTTACAGAACAATTTTATGAATTTTAAAACATATTAATTTGAATAATCATTTATATACAATCTGGGCATAGACTAGATTCACTATTCCATAAAACTACCTCATGCTATTGCTTATCTTTATATTTCTGCTCTCCAATATATTATTATTTGTGGGAAGTACTTGTCTTTTCTCCTTTGCTGTTTTTTTTTTTCTTCCCCAAAATGTCATATAAATGGAATCATAGAGTATGTAAAGTTTTGAGACTGGCTTCTCTGATACAGCATTATGTCTTGGAGATTCAAGTTGTTGAATATGTGATTTCAACGTTTGTTTTTTTTTCTTTTAGATCTCAGTTTTAATAAATTTTATTGAGACATAACTTACAATAAAATATTGCCATTTAAAATGTACAGTTCAATAATTTTTGATAAATGTATCTACCTATGTAACCACATTAATATAGTCAATCTGTTTTTATTACCCTTGTGTACTCCTTTGTAGATATTTTTAAAAAATCTTTATTGTTCAGATTATTACAGATGTCCATCTTTTTCCCCCCCATTGCTTCCCTCCACTTGGTTCCCACCCCACCGCAGGCCCTCGCCATCCCACTGTCCACGTCCATAGGTACTGCATATATGCATATAAGATCTGTGTCCAACTCTTCCTGCACCCCCCACACCCCCTTCCTCCTAAGAATTGTCAGTCTGCTCCATTTCCATGCCCCTGATTCTATTAAATTCACCAGTTTATTTTGTTCATCAGATTTTTAAAAAAATATTTTTTATTGATTTTTTACAGGGAGGAAGGGAGAGGGATAGAGAGTTAGAAACATTGATGAGAGAGAAACATTGATCAGCTGCCTCCTGCACTCCTACTGGGGATGTGCCCACAACCAAGGTACATGCCCTTGACTGGAATCGAACCTGGGACCGTTCAGTCCGCAGGCCGAAGCTCTATCCACTGAGCCAAACTGGTTAGGGCTATCAAATTTTTTATTTATTTGATTTTTAGATTCACTTGTTGATAGATATGTATTTGTTGTCACTTTGTTGTTCATAAGTTTTATCTTTACCTTTTTCTTCTTCTTCCTCTTCTTAAAGAATACCCATCAGCATTTCATATAATACTGGTTTGGTGGTGATGAACTCCTTTAGCTTTTTCTTATCTGTGAAGCTCTTTATTTGACCTTCAATTCTAAATGATAGCTTTCCTGGGTAGAGTAATCTTGGTTGTAGGTTCTTGCTATTCATCACTTTGAATGTTTCTTGCCACTCCCTTCTGGCCTGCATAGTTTCTGTTGAGAAATCAGCTGACAGTCCTATGGGCACTCCCTTGTAGGTAACTAACTGTTTTTCTCCTGCTGCTTTTAAGATTCTCTCTCTGTTTTTTGCCCTTGGCATTTTAATTATGATGTGTTGGTTTGGTCCTCTTTGGATTCCTTTTTGTTTGGGGTTCTCTACGCTTCCTGGAGTTGTAAGTCTATTTCTTTCACCAGGTAGGGGAAGTTTTCTGTCATTATTTCTTCAAATAGGTTTTCAGTATCTTGCTCTCTCTCTTCTTCTGGCACCCCCATAATTCGGATGTTGGTTTGCTTGAAGTTGTCCCAGAGGCTCCTTACACTATCTTCATATTTTTGGATTCTTTTTTCATTTTCCTCTTCTGGTTGAGTGTTTTTTGCTTCCTCATATTTAAAATCATTGACTTGATTCTTGGAATCATCTAGTCTACTGTTGAATCCTTGTATATTATTCTTTATTTCAGTCAGTGTAGCTTAATTTCTGACTGGTCCTTTTCCATTTTTTTGGTATTCTCACTAAGATCCATGTAGGACTAAGTTCCTCGGAGGTTTCTAGAAAATTCTTGAGTAATCTTGTAAGTGGTTTTGAACTCTATATCCAATAGTTTGCTTTCTTCCATTTCTTTCATTTGTGACATGTTTCTTTGTCTCCACATTTTGCCTGCTTCCCTGTGTTCATTTTTATGTATTGGGTTGCTGCTAAGTCTCCTTGAGTTGATAGAGTGGCCTTGTGTAGTAGGTGTCCTATAGGGCCCAGTGGCTCAGCCTCCCCAATCACCTGATGTGGACGCTCTTGGTGCACCCCTTTGTGGGCTGTGTGCACAGTCTTGTTATAGTTGAGCCTTGATTGCTGTTAGTATCACTGGTAGGAATTGACTTCCAGCCCAATTGGCTGTGGGACCAGCTATGTTTACAATGGAAGAGCTGTTGTGCAGGAGACACTCTTATGGGGCAGGACTTTCTTCAGTGGGGCTTTGGTGCTCACTGAGTCTGTCCCTTGAGTGTGTCGCTTATGGATGTGAAGAGTTGTAATCTGGATCGTCTTACTCTGACCACTGGGTACACTGAGTCTTCTATCTCCAAGGAGGTGCATAGTCATACACTGCCTGTGCCCACCCAGCTGGAGCTACAGAGAGATCTGCAATTTCCTCCTCTTTGTATCAGGTTTGGAAGTGCCCAGATGAGGCCCAGCTGTGAAGTAAGGCAGGCTGCTGCTGGTGCGGCCTTGGGCCTTCTTTTGATGGCTTTGGGGCTCCCTGACCCAGCTGCAGCTTGTTTAACAAGTTTTAGGCTGAGAAAGGACAGGCCATTCATATGCAAAAGCCGCTGTGCACAGCTTGGGTGGCTTTGTAAATTGGGGAAGGAGGGGTTTCAGGGACTCTCCAGGGCAGATCAAACAGCAATGGCTGTCATTCAGCCCTGGGACAGGGGTGGTCCCAATAAAGGAACAGTGACCATTGCGAGCACCTCCATCTGGAAGAAAGCCGCCCCTGCGTTCCTGCCCCGATGCCAGACAGTCCAGTTTCTCCCCTTATCTGTCTGGGTCCCCCAGAGCCTCACCCAGCACTGGAGCTCAGAGCAAGGGGGAGCTTGTATCTCCCTACCAATTAAAAAAGCAGCACACCTGGGTGCCAGCCTGTTTCATGCATCTACACTTCCTACCAGTCTCAGTGCGCTTTCTTTTTTACCTCCCTAGTTGTAGCACTTCTACTCAGTCAGCATTCCCACAGTTCTGGATGATAGTTGGTATATTTTAGTTGTAATTTTGATATGGTTGTGGGAGACAGCAAGTACAGGTGTTTACCTATACCGCCAACTTGGTTCTCCCCTTTGTAGACATTTTTCAACCCCATACTTATTTCCAAACAACTTGTAATATGCTTCCTGGTTTTCTTGTTTTGTTTTTTCTAGAATTTCATATTACAATATGTACTCTTGTGTCTGGTTTCTCCCCGTGACATAATGTTTAATATTCATCAATATTGATGTCATTACCAGTAGTTCATCTTTATTGCTGGGAAATATTTAATTGCATGGTATATACTTTAGGTAATAATTTAGGGAGCCTTTGTATTTTTATTCTTTTAAAAATATTACTGTGCTTTAGTTTTAATTAGGTGTAATAAATTGTAGTACATTATGCAATGAAACGTCATTTTATTTATACTATTCTAAAATTTTAATTATTTTGTTGTATTTTTTACCTAGCGTTTTAAAATTTCAGTTTAGTAAGATTAAAAATACCACACATATATTGCCCTGGCTGAGTAGCTCAATTGGTTAGAGAGTCGTCCTGATATGCCAAGGTGGTGGGTTCCATTCCTGGTCGAGGCACATACAAGAATCAACCAATGAATGAATAAATAAGTGGTATAACAAGTTGATATTTTTCTCTCTAAAATCAATAAGTAAATTAATCAACTAAAAGTATATATATAAATATATTATGATAATTTGTTGATTCTAGAATGTGAAATTTAAATTTGAATAATCATTAAGTTTTTAAAATTAAGTTTTATTTTACCCAATAGCATTAAATACTGCCTACTTGTTTTTATTTCAATTAGTAGTTGCTTTCTTTTACTTTACCTGAACTATATGAGGGTGAAGGTATAAATGAATTCTTTTTCTGCTGTTTCTTTAGCATTTTGTTTCTTTGGATTTTTCCTACATAGGATTTTTCATTTTTTGAAAATTAAATTAATGAGAACTATTTATTTTGACAGGCCTTTGGAAATGCAAAGACAGCTCATAATAATAATTCAAGTCGTTTTGGCAAGTTTATTCAAGTAAATTACCAAGAAACAGGCACTGTACTTGGGTAAGTAGCAATGTCAGGCTTTGGAGCATGTTTATATTTTTGCTAGTGGCCCGATGCACGAAATCCGTGCAAGAGTAGGCCTTCCTTCCCCTAGCTGCTGGCACCGGCTTCCCTCCGGCACCCAGGACCTGGACTCCCTCTGGCCGCTGGCAGGCACCTGGACCCGGGCTTACCACCAGCCACTGGCAGGCACTCGGGACCCACCTTTCCTCAGGCCCCAGCTTAGTCCGGAAGGATATCTAGTCTAATTAGCATATTACCCTTTTATTATTATAGATGACTAGAGGCCTGGTGCATGAAATTTGTGCACGGGTAGGGTCCCTAGGCCTGGCCGGCGATCAGGGTCGATCTGTGTGGTGACTGGCGGGGTGATCAGGTGCCCCCCACTGGCACACACCTTGCTGCCCTGGGGACTGTGGGCTGGGATAGCTCCTGCATTGAGTGTCTGCCCCTTGGTGGTCAGTGTACTTCATAGCGACCGGTCGTTCCACTGTTCAGTCGAATTGCATATTAGGCTTTTATTGTATAGATTTGTTCCTTTATTAGCAATAGATTGTTCATTTGATCTTTAATGAGAATAGTGATACTGGGAAGCATTTTTTATTTTGTTAATCCTCATCCAAGGATATTTTTACATTGATATTTAGTGAGAGTGGCAGAGAGGGAAAGTCAGAGAGAAACATCGATGTGAGAGAAGCACACCAATTGGTTTCCTCCTGCATGAGCCCTGACCAGGGCCTGGGCCCAGGAGAAGCTTGCAACCAAGGTATGCGCCCTTGACTGGAATCGAATCTGGGACCCTTTGTTCTCAGGCCGACGCTCTATCCACTGATCCAAACCAACAGTGGGAAGCAGATTTTTAATGGTGTCTGCATTAAAATTTTTTAAGACTTTTTTCTTTTGGAATCTAATCTTACCTAATAATAGACAAACATAGTAATTGACCATACCTTCGCTACGCCTCCCATTGGCTAATCAGCAAGATACGCAAATTAACTGCCAACAAAGGTGGCGGCCGGCAGCCACGGAACTGGAACGAGCAGGAGGCTTGCTTGCTCCAGTGATGGAGGAAGACAAGGTTCCCCGCCTGCCGTGGCCCGGATCTGAGCTACACTCTAAGCAACAAAGTTTCAATTATAGAAGGTAAATAAACCCCAGATAAAAGAAAAAAAGGAGAGGCTGGGAGCTTCTGTCGCTGGGGAGGCTTGGCCAGCCTGAAAACGGCCCTCAGCCCTTCACCCAGACTGGCCAGGCACCCCAGTGGGGACCCCCCACTCTAAAGGTGGTGTGGCCAGCCTGAAAACAGCCATAAGCCCATCACCCACGCTGGCCAGGTACCCCAGTGGCACCCCAGTGGGGACCCCCACCCTGAAGGGCAAACTAGCCAGCCCCCACCTGTGCACCAGGCCTCTATTCTATATAATAAAAGGGTAATATGCAAACTGACCCTAACAGCACAAGGACTGGGAATGACTGGTCACTATGACACACACTGACCACCAGGGGGCAGACGCTCAATGCAGGAGCTGCCCTCTGGTGGTCAGGGCGCTCTCACATGGGAGGAGCTCTGCTCAGCCACAAGCCAGGCTGATGGCTGCCAGTACAGCGGTGGTGGTGGGAGCCTCTCCCGCCTCCTCAGCAGCGCTAAGGATGTCAGACTGCAGCTTAGGCCTGCTCTCCACTGGCAAGTTGACATCCCCCGAGGGCTGCCGGGCTGCCAGAAGGATGTCTGATTGCCATCTTAGGCCCAATCCCCCGGGGAGCGGGCCTAAACCAGCAGGTGGTCATCCCCCGAGGGGTCCCAGACTGTGAGAGGGCACAGGCCGGGCTGAGGGACAACCCCCCCCCCCCTGCACAAATTTTTGTGCACCGGGCCTCTAGTGAATAAAATAAACGGATGAACAAAATAGATCCAGAGCCATGGAAGCATGGAACAGACTGAAAATCTCAGAAGGAAGCGGGTAGGGGGTTTAGGAAGAGATTAACCAAAGAATTTATACATGTATATGCATATTCCATGGACACAGACAATAGTACTGAGAAGGTCTGGGGATGTGTGGGAGTGAGGTCAGGGGGATCAATGGGGGAATAGGGGATATCTGTAATACTTTCAACAATAAAGATAAATTTAATAAAAATGTTATAGGGAATAAATGAGCTGAGGTGGGGCTGCTTTAGCTTGCTGGGAAGTCAGGTTTGGTGGGTTAGCTGTCTCTGCCCAGTTCTTCCCTGGTTGACCATCTCATGGGGTCCCTTAGAGTTTAGGTGATGCATGCCTGTAGGGGAAGAAGAAAGCAAAGGGGAAGATGCCAACATGCTCCTGGGAGGGAGAGCACTCGAAAAGGTGATTTTTTATCTTGGGTCTATTTGTTACTACTCAAGATGAATATTTTTTTGATCATTATTGATTAAAGAGAAAGTTGAACCCTTTTAGGTAGTCACTTAACATAGAGGATCCTGAATTTCATTTATAAAATGAGAAAATAAACATCAGCCATTTCTAAGTCATTAAACTGTCTTAAGAATCAATGAATATATATAATGCTACTTTGTAAGTTACAAAGCAGTATACTCAACTTTACCCATTAGTAACGTCTCCAACAACACAATCATAAATACTAGGAAAGAGCAGCCAGACGTGACTGCATCCGCTTTTATGAGTAAAAGTACCAACTGTACCTTTGAAAACTAACATTCCTCAACTCAGGAAAGGAATGAGCTATGAAACTTGTTTGCCATTGTAGAATAATTTATCCTTGTTTTTGCTTTTGTTTTCTTGGGGGGGGGAGGGGTAAGAATACATATAGTGTTGGTCAAAAATTTTAAATGCAGAAGCATTTGAGATCTTGCTTCCCAGCATATATCGTCAGCTTGACTGAAATAAACTCATATAAATAATTACATACATACATACATGCATATGTACATACATACAAAAAGTAAAGTGATAAGACTTAAGCATAATCAAAATACAGATCAATCTCACATAGAAGCCTTTATTTTATAAGTGGAGAAATTAATACTCAAAGATATGCAGGGTGCGTATAAGAATTTAACACACTAGTTTGTTAGTTCTCCTTTTCCCATTTTAGACCAATAAGACCCGGTTTCAGTAGTTTAGATTAGAGGTAATAATGATAATTCAGAAGAAATGATAAATTTTAATTACTGGTGGTAGTAGTGACAATTTGCAAAGAAGGTACACTTGAGCTTCATTTTAATGAATGAATTGAATCTGCTAGATAGTGGGAATAGTCTACAGAATTAGACGTGGAAGGAAGACCGTGAACAATATATTGAAGAGTGAATATCTTTCTTGAGGGATTAGCCTGTATTTGGGAGTGGCTGAAATACAGAGCATGCTATGGGAGGGAATTGAGGGAAATAAAAACTTAAGAATCAGATTTTGACCCCAAGAGGTTAATGCTAAGTAATTTGGATTCAGTAGTCTAAAGCTTTTATATTTGTAGAATCCCTTTTTCTTGTTAGAGCTTAACCGATTGCTCCAATTTGGATAAAGAGGTATTGAAGATTTGAAGGACACAGACTGGATAAAGATAATAACATCAGAAATACAATTCATGTTTAAGTTCCTTATTACTTCCAGGATAAATTCCTTTCTTCTGGCACACCATATATTGTTTTTCTTGATCTAATCCACTTGCCTGTCTCATTCTCTAGCCATGTTAAGTATCTTCCCTAAAGTTGATAGGTTTACTTCTTTTATGCCTTTACAGAAAGGCAGTTCTCCTTGTCTTATTCTGGGCAATCTTTCAGATTTCAGAGTCATTTAGTCACTTACTAGGTATATTTAATGAATGTTTACTGTGCACTATGTATTCAACCTCTGAGAATTCTTCCTTACATCCTTTTTCCTTCTTGGATTAAATCTTATGTGTTCCTCCTACTACATCTATAATTGGTTATTGTTCTATAATAAACCCAATCAACTCAGTATTGTAGCTGCTAATTTACTTATTTCCTCCACTATTTTGTAATCCCCTTGGGAATAGGTAATGTATCATGTATTTCCAGTTTTGAACAATGCTTAGCACAGTGCACACTTAATGAATACTTTCCGAGTAAATCAGTAAATAATAATTGATTTCAGAATGTGGCAATAGCATTAATATGTAAAGAACATATATTTTTGAGTCCTATTTAGTAGTCTGGTCAAAGTATGATATTTGAAATAATGTACAGTGTGGTAGATGAGCCTGGAAAGAAAGTAAGGTCTACCTTATGTTATAGGAAGTTCTTGTGTGCCATGTTTTGAACTTCTGGCTTTTTTTTGCTTATTGAAAGCAAAACAAAATAAAACAAAAAGATTTATGAGTTTATGAATCAAACATGGATAACACTCTAACAGTATCCATACACATTTACTAATGGTAAATGTACTGAAATGATCTGGATAGCCTTCTTTATACTTTTTTATCTTCTTTGAAAAAATATTTGTCTACCTTATATTAATTATATTAACCAATTTTATTTTTCTTCTAGTGCCTATGTTGAAAAATATCTACTGGAGAAGTCCAGACTCGTTTATCAAGAGCATAATGAACGGTACATATTTTCATTTGTATAATTAGATCAAGTTAATACTTGTATAATGCTGATTGACTTTTAGAATCTTTGTATATTATGATCTTTAATTCAGTTTATACCATGCATAGCTTTACACATAATTGCCATTTCTGTCATGGCCAGAACAGTGCACTTTTTCTGAGGCTGCTAGGAGATTATTTTTTTAAAATCCTCACCTAAAGATATGATTTATCGATTTTAAAGAGAGTTAAAGTGGGGGGGGGGGGAGAGGAACATTGAAGTAGAGAGTAATGTCAATCGGCCGCCTCCTGTTTGCTCCCCAATTGGGGATCAAACCCAGAACCTAGATATGTGTCCTGACTGGGAATCTGAACCTGCAACCTTTTTGGTGTATGTGACAACACTCCAACCAACTGAGCCACCTGGCCTGGGGCTGCTAGGAGATTTTTAAAATGGGTATATAGAACTGTTCACCTTTCTAAATTCTAGGCAAAATATCAAAATAGGAAAACAGCAGTTATCTTTGTGCTCTTTGTGAGCATTGTGCCTTTGGAACATTTTCCATGTCTTAGTGTCTTTTGTTTAACTTGAGAAAAGTCTTTAATAAAGCTTTTAATTTCATTGTAATATATGAGGTATGTGGGCTTCAGAGATGATATATATGCAACCTCCTTCAGATGAAGGAACCAAATATTGGAAGATGTAAATGATTTGCTTCATGTTACAATGAGACAAAATTAAAAGGCCAACTTTGAAGTTAAACAGACCTAATTATTCAAATAATGGATACGCCTTTGGCATCTCACTTAACTTCTCTGCTTCTTAGATACTCTAATTTTACAAATAGAAAATTATCCTAAAGTTGTTTAGAGGATTGTATAAAATCCTATCTAATAAAAGGGTAATATGCAAATTAACCATCACTCCGTCACAAAAGATGGCGGTGCCCATAGCAACAAGATGGTGGTGCCCAGTCCTCTCAGTCCTGCCGGAATCCCCCAGTCCTGGTGGGGTGGCCGCTGAGAGTGGGCAGTGTGATAAGCCTGTTGGAATGCTTGCTTTGTTGCTGCGTGGACGAGGCAAGCATTCCACCCTGGCCACGGAGGGCCTCTGGGCCTTGGGCATGGAGCAGCTGGTGTGGGGGTGGGGGGAACTGTTGGCGTTCCACCTCGGCCGCGGATGGGCCTTTGGCCAGGCTGGGGTGCTGAACGCTTGCGTCGTTGCCCTGGCGATGAGGCAAGCGTTCTGTGCCTAGCTGCAGATGGGCCTCTGGCCGTGCCTGGCTGTGGATGGGCCTCTGGGTCGCGGAGAGCCTATGGGCAGTGGGCGTGGAGCGGCCAGGCTCTGCAGAGAACTACTGGCACACGCATTCGTGCGCAGGGCTATTAGTAATATTTATAAAATGTTATATGTATAATAACAGTTCAATAATTAATAGCTAACATTATCATAATGAATTATCTGCAAGGTTAGGACTAGAACTCAGACTTTCCTATTACATTTTTTGTGGCTAGCAGATGAGAAAATCTGAATTAGAGGTATTTCAAAATGAAGGGAATAGAGTTTCAGGAAGAGAATCTATCCTATCTAATAATAGACAAACATGGTAATTAACCGTACCTCCGACACGCTTCCCATTGGCTAATCAGGGCGATATGCAAATTAACTGCCAACCAAGATGGCGGCCAGCAGCCAGGCAGCTGAAGCGAACAGGAGGCTTGCTTGCTCCAGTGATGGAGGAAGCCAAGGTTCCCCGCCTGCCGCTGCCAGCCTCTGAGCTGCACTCTAAGAAACAATGTTGCAATTATAGAAGCTAAACAAATCCCAGAAACCTGCTTTCAGCCAGCCGGGCCTCAGAGCTGGAGCTGCAACAGTGTTTCAATTATAGAAGCCAAACAAACTCAGATACCTGCTTTCAGCAGCCGAGGTCTCAGAGCTGGAGCTGAGCCTCAGAGCTAAAGCCGGCTCTCAGCTCCGGTGACAGCCATAGAAGGTAAATAAATCCCAGAAAAAAAAAAGAAAAGAAAAAAAAAGGAGAGGTTGGGAGCTTCAGTCACCCGCCAGCTTGAAAACGGCCCTCAGCCCCTCACCCAGGCTGGCCAGGCACCCCAGTGGGGACCCCCACCCTGAAGGGGGTGTGACCAGCTGCAAACAGCCATCATCCCTTCATCCAGGCTGGCCAGGCACCCCAGCAGGACCCCCACCCTGATCTGGGACACCCTTCAGGGCAAACCAGCCGGCCCCCACCCGTGCACCAGGCCTCTATCCTATATAGTAAAAGGGTAATATGCAAACTGACCCTAACAGCAGAAGGACTGGGAATGACTGGTCACTATGACACACACTGACCACCAGGGGGAAGACGCTCAATGCAGGAGCTGCCCTCTGGTGGTCAGGGTGCTCTCACATGGGAGGAGCTCTGCTCAGCCACAATCCAGGCTGATGGCTGCCAGTACATCAGTGGTGGTGGGAACCTCTCCTGCCTCCTCAGCAGCGCTAAGGATGTCCGACTGCAGTTTAGGCCTGCTCCCCGCTGGCAAGTGGACATCCCCCGAGGGCTACCGGGCTGCCAGAGGGATGTCTGATTGCCATCTTAGGCCCAATCCCCCGGGGAGCGGGCCTAAGCCAGCAGGTGGTCATCCCCTGAGGGGTCCCAGACTGCGAGAGGGCACAGGCCGGGCTGAGGCACCCCCCCTCCCCCCCTCGTGCACAAATTTTTGTGCACCGGGCCTCTAGTATATATATAACAGGCTAATATGCAAAGTGTCCCCTCGGGAGTTCGACCGGGAGACCGGGAGTTCGATTGCTCCCTGCTACGTGCGCTGACCACCAGGAGGCGGCGCGGAATTAAGGAAGCCCCCAACTGGCAGCTAGAAGGCCCCGATTGGCCCTGATTGCTGGCCAGGCCTAGGGACCCTACCCATGCACGAATTTCGTGCACTGGACCTCTAGTAGCTTTATAAAGACTTGCAGAGATAATAGGTCCTGTTTTTAGAAGGTTATTAGTAACTTTTTTCTAACACATTTTAATGGAATGGTAGGGATATATGCCTGGTTTCCTTGGTTTTGAAGAATTTATAGGAGGTGAAGATCCAGAGCTTATAAACTGATTCTCTGTTATTTTACTGGATTTGATTTGCAGGTGTATGTATAATCTTTATTATATGTTGGTGGATTTGGCTTGATAATATTTTGTTGAAGGTTTTGTGTGTATATTCATAAAGGATATTGCTGTATTATCCTTTTAAACTTTTGAAGTCTTTTTCTGCTTTTGGTATCAGGATAATGCTGACTCATTGAATAAGACTGAAAGAATTTGTGAAAGATTGGGTTAATTCTTTTTTAAATGTTTGGTAGAATTCACCAGTGAAACCATTTGATTTGGGCTTTTGTTTGTGGGAAGTTTTGTTTTTTAAAAAATATATTTTATTAATTTTTACGGAGAGGAAGGGAGAGGGATAGAGAGTTAGAAACATCCATGAGAGAGAAACATCGACCAGCTGCCTCCTGCACACCCCCTACTGGAGATGTGCCCGCAACCAAGGTACATGCCCTTGACGGGAATCAAACCCGGGACCCTTCAGTCCACAGGCCGACGCTCCATCCACTGAGCCAAACCGGTTAGGGCTGTTTGTGAGAAGTTTTGATTACTGATTCAAACTCTTAGGTTTTTATGGGTCTGTTTAGATTTTCATTTTCTTCTTTAGTTAGATTTGGTAGTTTTTATCTTTCTAGGAATTTATCCATTTGATATAGGTTACAAAAATATTGTTTATAGTTTTCCCTTATGACATTTTTTTATTTCCATAGGTTGTTAGATTATAATATTCCCCCCTTCCATTTCTGACTTTGAGATATATCCTTGTTTTAACTCATCCAGGCTGATACAGTGGAACGTCAGTTCTTGAACTTAATTTGTTCCAGAAGGCTGTTCAAGAAGTGGTTTGTTTGAAAAACCAAGTCATTTTTTCCCATTAGAAATAACGTAAATTAAATTAATGTGTTCCAGACCCCCAAATAATTAGCTATTTTAACCTTTCTTAATTGCCTGTGATCATTGTTTTGTGAGCACTTTTACACCGTTAGCCACATCTGCACTTTTTGTTCTTGTTAATCCTCACCTGAAGATATTTTCTCCATTGATTTTTCAGAGAAAGTGGAAGAGAGGGGTGCGGGGAGACAGAGGAAGTGAGAGGGAGAGAGAGAGAGAGATTGCAAAAGAGAGAGAAAAACATCGATGTGAGAGAGACACATCGATTGATTTGTTGGGACTGGGGACCAAACCTGCAAACCAGGTACGTGCTCTTGACTAGGAATCCAACCCGTAACCCTTTGGTGCGCTGGCTGATGCTCAAACCACACTTGCCAGGGCATATCAACATTCTTTTTTTTTTTCCTTATCAGCATTGTTGATGGCCTCTTTATGTTTTAAAATTGTGCTAATGATCGATTTCACCATGCCACACTCAGTAGCCAGATCAGACACGCAAACAGCTCTGTCATACTTTGCAATTATTTCTTTTTTAAGCTCTATCATTCTCACAACTTTCCTTTTCACTTTGCTGCTATCACTAACTTTCTTAGGACCCATGGTAACTTACTGTATGTATTTAATAATAATAATAAACATTAACAAAACCAAAACAACATGAAAATATTCAGAGCACAATTTCCTGGGAGGTTTAGTGGGAAACTGACTCATACTTTCATTTGCACATTCTCTCATTTGTCGCCTGAGAGACCTGTGAGTGATCATACAGGTATTAGCATGAAAGGGTTGTCAGTCAAGAACCTGACAACCAAGACATTTTCCGTGAACATGGGAAGATGTTCAAGGACCGAGGTTTGACTGTATAACAAAATACTACAGACTGTGTAGTTTATAAATAACAGAAATTCATTTCTCACAGTTCTGGAGGCTGGGAAATCTAAGATGAAGGTGCCACCATGGTTGCATTCTGGTGAGAGCCCTCTTTCCTGGGTCCTCATGTGATAGACAGGGATAGGGATCTCTTTTATAAGAGCAGTAATTCCATTCATGTGTGCTACACCTTCATTACCTAATCACCTTCCAAAGGCCCCACCTTCTAATACCACCAGCTTTTTGAGTTATGATTTCAACATAGGAATTTGATGGGTACACATTCAGACCATAACAATCCACCCCCTCTTTCCAGAGGACCAAGCAGTGGTTTCATTGATTTTTTTTTCTCCTGTTCCCAATTTTATTTCTGCTCTCATGCTTATTACTTCATTCTGCTTGCTTTGGGTTTAATATGCTCCTTTTATTTATTTATTTTTCTAGTTTCTTAAAGTGGATGGTCAAGATATAGCGTTGAGATTTTTAAAAAATGAGTTTACAGCTATAAAGTCTCAGTGAACACTGCTTCAACTGTTTCTCATATTTTAGTATATTGTATTTGTGTTTTCATGCATTTTCTAGTTTCCTATATGATTTCTTCTTTGATCCATTATGTTATATAGGGTTGTGTTGTCGAATTTCCACATATTTGTGTATTTTGTTATTGATTTGTAAGATGGTCAGAGAACATACTTTGAATGATTTCACTCCCCTTAAATTTTTTTAAAAATATATTTTATTGATTTTTTACAGAGAGGAAGGGAGAGAGATAGAGAGTTAGAAACATCGATGAGAGAGAAACATCGATCAGGTGCCTCCTGCACACCCCCTACTGGGGATGTGCCCGCAACCCAGGTACATGCCCTTGACCGGAATCGAACCTGGGACCCCCCCATTCCGCAGGCTGACGCTCTATCCACTGAGCCAAACCGGTTTCGGCACAGTCCCCTTAAATTTATTGAGATTTGTTTTGTAGTTGAATATTGTCTATCCTGGAGAATATTCCATAGGTACTTGAGAAAATATGTAGCCTGCTGTTGTTGGATGGAGTATTCTATAGATGTCTGTTAGGTCTAGGTGGAATATAGTATTTCCAAGTCCTTTTTTCCTTGTTGATCTTCTGTCTAGTTTTTCTATTTTTTATTGAGGGGATGGGGAGTGTTGAAATATCTCAGTACTATTATTGAATTGCTTATTTATTCCTGCAGTTCTTTTAGTTTTTGATTCATGTGTTTTGGGGCTCTATTTTCAGATGTATTTATGTTTAGGATTGTTATAATTTCTTGATGGATTGGTCCTTTCGACATTATAAAATGACCTTTGCATCTAGTAAAAAATTTGGTCTTAAAATCTATTTTATATGATGTAAGTATAGACACTTCAACTTTCTTTGGGGTACAGATTGCATGCTATTGTGTCCATCATTTTACTTTCAACCTATGTTTGTCTTTGAATCTATAATGTATGTCTCTTGTAGAAAGCATGTATCCTATCTAATAAAAGAGAAACATGGTAATTAACGTACAACCGCTACCCTTCCCATTGGCTAATCAGGGCGATATGCAAATTAACTGCCAGCCAAGATGGCGGTCGGCAGCCAGGCAGCTTGAAGCGAACATGACGCTTGCTTGCTTCAGTGAAGGAGGACTCCAACGTTCGCCGCCTGCCTTGCCGGCCTCTGAGCTGGCAGTTTGAAACATTGTAACAAATATAGAAGCTAAACAAAACCCCAGAAACCAGCTTTCAGCCGGCCGGGATCTCAGAGCTGGAGATGATACAGTGTTTCGATTATAGAACCGAAACAAACCAGATACCTGCTTTCAGCAGCAGAGGCCTTGGCCCAGAATAAAAAAAAAAAAGAAAAAAAGGAGCGGTTGGGAGCTTCAGTCATCCACCAGCCTGAAAACAGCCCTCAGCCCCTCACCCAGACTGGCCAGGCACCCCAGTGGGGACCCCCACCCTGAAGGGTGTGTGACCAGCTGCAAACAGCCATCATCCCCTCATCCAGGCTGGCCAGGCACCCCAGTGGGGACCCCAACCCTGATCCAGGACACCCTTCAGGACAAACCAGCCAGCCCCTACCCATGCACCAGGCCTCTATCCTATATAGTAAAAGGGTAATATGCCTCCCAGCACCGGGATCAGCGGAGCGAAGAGGCTTCCCGGCACCGGGATCAGCGTGACAGGGGGCAGCGCCCAAACCCCCTGATCACCCTGCGGCTCTGTGTGTGACAGGGGGTGGGGGCCACAATCTCCCTATCCGCCCTGCTCTGGTCGTGACAGGGGAAGGCGCCCCAACCCCCTGATCCGCCCTGCTCTGTGCCTGATAGGGGGAGCTCCCCAATCCCCTGATCGCCCTGCATCGCCCCTGCAGCTCTTGTGTGTGACAGGGGTGCGGGCGCCCCCAACCCCCCCGCCTCCCCCACGGTATCCTAGCTCTGTGTGTGATGGGGGTAGTAGCCATAAACCTTCCCCCATCGGCCCCGTGCCCCTGAGATGTGAGAGTGAGCGGCCGCCCCCCAACCCCCC